ATTTTATACTGGAGGGGCCAGATTGCTTTTGCTTTCTGGAGTTCCCACAGAGGCCCAAGTCAGATGAGGATCAGATGCTCTTAAGGCTTTCTCCTAAGGTCTCGATCCCTCCAGGAAAGATGCTGCCCTCAGGAATTTGGGGGCTGGGCTGGCCTGGGAGCAGGGCCTGGGAAAAATGCTGGTCCTAGCAAGCTGGTGCCACCCAGGGATGCAAAGGAAGATTGGGGTGGGAAGAGGCCCCAAGTTCAGAGGTCTGGCGTGCCAGGAGGAAAGATGGAGTGGGGAGCTGGGAGGGTGAATGAGGCTGAGGGAGTCAAGGTGCAGTGGGCACCTTGGGACTTACCTAGGAAAGATGCTGGCACCAGGAAGCCTACAGCTCTACAGTCCAGGGACACAAAGGGAGGTGGGGGCAGGACCAGGCCCAGAGGACTCCTGGGGACCGCAGGGAGGAATTGGGTTGGTCTGGATGCAAAGGATCAGGAAGCAGTGGGGATTCTGGGCCAAGAGTTCAGTTCAGAGGTCTGGGGTGCCAAGACAAGAAATGCGCCAGTACCCAGGACAGGAGGCGAGATGGGGTCGGGGAGTTGGGAGGGTGAATGAGGTGGGGGGAGTCAAGATGCAATGGGTGCCGAGGGACTAACCTAGAAATGATGCTGGCACCAGGAAGCTGGTAGCTGAGCTGCCCAGGGAACCAAAGGTAGGTTGGGGGTGGGACCAGGCCCAAAGGGCTCCTGGGGACTGCAGGGAGGAACTGGGTTGGTCTGGATGCAAAGCATCAGGAAGCAGTGGGGACTCTGGGCCAAGAGGTCAGCCCAGTGGTCTGGGGTGCCAAGACAAGAAATGGGCCAGTACCTAGGCTAGGACTAGAGATGGGGCAGGGGAGCTAGAAGGGTGAATGAGGCTGGGGGAGTCAAGGCACAATGGGCACTGAGGGCATCATTTTATTTCTTTAACCTACTGAGTCTGATTAGTGTTGCCTATGTGTGCATGATGTGGAGTCATCCACTGGGGCCTGGGGAACCTTCCAGTGGCCACACCCCTAAGGAAAAGTAACTCCCTCCATCAGTAGCCATCAGCTGCCCATAGCTCACCAGCTAAGGTCGGGGCCTCGGGAGCCCCTCATCCTTCCATCATAGAATATTTAACTCTCTTAGTCATGTGGAGGTCTTGTGCAGATAAACACAGCTCTTGTGTGTTCATGTGTTCAGCAGCCTTGTCATGTCCAGAGGACAGACTTTCACAGCATTTCTGCCTGCCCTCTAGCTCTTACATGCATTCTATCCCACCTTCTGTGATGATCCCTGAGCCTTGGGAGGAGAAGGTTGATATAGATGTCCCATCTACTGCTGAGCACTCAAAGTCCCTTATTCTCAGCACTCTGAAGAGTAATGTATCTCTGTATTAACCATGTGCCACTGCAATAAGAAGCTTCTCTCACCAAGGCTGGGAGCAGCACAAATCTATGAATATAAGCGTAAATACTTAGAAGGCAGTTTGATAACATGATCATTTAGAAAAACATTAATAAGTTCTCCAGTAAGACCTCTGACTTCCGTAGCCATGGTGTTTTGGCCATGTTTACAGAACCAAGTATGAATTTCCTCCTGTGGAACAAGCCTCAAATCCATTCAAGAGAGTGGTCGGTTATACAGTCTTCCCACTATTGCACTAATGGGTACATTTTTCCTAGCAGGTCAGTGTTGTAGCATGCAGGGTTCAGCACTGGATAAGACAAGACCACTGATACACACACACACACACACACACACACACACACACACACACACAGTTAACATATTTCAATATATGTATATTGTGTAATGGTCACACTAAGTTAACATCTTTCTAAACATCATTTCATTATGTTGAAAACATTCAAATCCCAGCTTTTAAAGATAAACAGTATGTAATTTTTCATCTAAAATAGCACTCTAGAACTTCTAGTTTCTATCTAAGTAGAACTTAGTACCTAGTGATCAACCTTTCACACCCCCTCTCCTTTTAGAGTCCACATATCAGTGATAGCGTATGATACTGTCTGTTCCTGGCTTATTTCGCTTAACAACTCTAGCTCCATCTGTGTTGTCACAGATGTCAGTATTTCATCACTTTTTTTGTGGCTGAGTAGCTTTCCAATATAAATATCCTATAATTTCTTTCTCTGTTCATCAATTGACAGACGCTTAGGTTGTTTCTATTTCTTGGCTTTTGTGAAAAGTTGTTTGATACAGGATGTATACTTTGATTGTAACCCTCCCTTTTCAGTATGGACCAGAATCCAGGTATTCTGTCTTGTCTGGTTCAACTTCCCTTGAGAGTAAACCTGTTTTATTCCTAGAATTGAGAGGTCCGTGGACAGGGTTTTGCCTGTGTGCTGCACTTGAATACCTTGTCCTGTTTCATCCTTGGGTTCCCCTTTGTCTTTGAAGGTACTGTGGATCTTAAACTCCTGAACTTGGATTCTGCTTTGGGAATTGACTTGCTTCTTGATTTGCACTTAGCCTTTTCCCTATTTCCTGCTGCCTGAATGCGGGGGTCAATGCCTGTACCATCACATCCAGCTCAATTTTTTTTCTCTCTCTCTTTTTTAAAATTTAACACATTATTGACTGTTTTTGAGTATTCAATTTGCTTAATCTTTTTGTTGTTCTTTTTGAAACAGGGTCTCCCTGTAGTGGGTCTGGCCTGGAACTCATAGAGATTCACTTGCCTCTTCTTCCTGAGTGCTGGGATTAAAGGCATGCACCACCATGCCCGACCAGTTTGCTTAATCTTGTCTGAACCCAGCTATTTTAAATTTGATTTTATGGGGCCAGATTAGATTTTTAAGGGTAAAACTGAAACAAAAATGTTAATGTGATTTTTTTTTATTAAAAAAACTTTTACTTTTTTTATGTGAATAAGTGCTTTGATTGCATGTGTGCAAGTGTACCTGTGTCATGCAATGCCTACAGAGGCGAGGGCAGCAGGTTCCTCTAAAACTGGAGTTATCTGCAGTTGTTAACTGCCATGTGGGTGCTGGGATCAGAACCCAGGTCCTCTTCAAGAACAGCCAGTGCTCTTTACCACTGAACCATCGCTCCAACCCCATTAATGTGATTTCTAACTATATATTTTAGTTTTTAAAACATTTGATTTTCATGGACTAGAGACCCTGCATGCTTTTGTTTTTTTATTTTTTTGGTTTTTGGTAGTAAGCCACTTTTGGCCACCTTAACTACATATTGCATTGCATGTATAAAGGTCAAGGTTCTGATTTGAACATGAAATGCTTTACTTTCTTTTATTTGTGGTTAACTGGGACTTACTTTCCCCCTGTAGTAATAGCTACATGATAACCTCATCTTTTAATTGTAATTATCATCTAGAATAATTTTTGATAATTTTAGAATATTGTTATTGCAGTACATAATATTATATAATATCTACTGCTTCCTTTTTTCACAGTATTTTGTATTGTTATTCATGTTACTCCACAGTTTTCATGTTGTAAACTAAAAATTTAGTATGTTAGTCATGTTTAGATTTGTTTAAAAATAATGTGATTTGGAGGTAATTTATGCCTAAATACCTTGCTCACATTTTTTTTTATAGTAAAGCCATTTGCAAATGAAGAAGAATATAAGAAAACTGAAGAAATAGTTCAAAAATTTCAAAATGGAATTGGAGAAAAATTGCATCAGAAATTACTTGAAAGGGCAAAAGGAAAAAGAAATTGGGTATTCATTTTAGTATACTTATAATTGAAAACTTGATGATGTTTAAAGAAGAATTTAAAATGCAGTCATTGTCATTATGGTCATCCAAAAGAATGTATGAATCACTTAATTGGAGAGCATTTATATTGTAAGTGGGCCCTTCTCTTACCTAAGAATTTGTTAAAATGCAAGTTTCTGGGAATAAGTGATTTTGATTCAGTAAGTCTGGAATGGACCTCCAAAATTCTTGTTTAAACTGGGCGCATGCCTTTAATCCCACCACTTAAGAGGCAGAGGCAGGTGGGTCTCTGTGAGTTTAAGGCCAGCTGGGGCTACAGGGAGACCCTGTTGCAAAAAAATAAAAATAAAAATTCTTGATAATTACTCCATGTGAGTTTGTTTTGAGCCACATTGGGGCTCCAGGCTTGGAGAATCCAGTGTCTTGTACATTCAAGGCAAGCTTTTTACTACTGAGCTAGATCCTTACTTATCCATGTGGTTCTGATGTAGGTGATTTGTAGACTATGTTTAACAAAAAGCTTTCCAGGTCACCATAGCCTGAAAAAAACCCCAAACCACTAAATTAGACAGGTTTTATAGGTGGCATAGACCTATTTAAACAGTACATGGGAGAAAAGGGTCTGCTGCAAAATTGAAATGAAAAATATTTATACATATTCCACATTTCAGTTAAGTAATATTGAGGGAGAAGCTGCTATAATTATCAAGGGTCTCAATTTTCTAACAGTGATCTTTGACTTCTTTTAACTCAGCTACTTCTCTGGTTACATGAATTAGATGGTGAGTTTTCATAAGTAAAAAGCATTACCTTGGTTGAAAAATAATGATGGCAACATAATTTTAAGAAGAAAATGTCTGATCTTTTTATGAGCCCTTGATCTTTATGATGAAATCATAACATTTTCTACTTCTAGATTCCTTTATTCTCAATTTTAACCTTGGGTGATTTTGATTAAAATGGGGCTTAAAGTTAAAGAAGTTGTTATTCTGCCTGTATTGTTTTTACTTAGGCTCTTTTTTCTGAGTCACTAGTTAGTTACAGGTTATAACATCAATTTCTTAAAAAGAACTCTGGGTAACCTAATAAGATCTGCTTACTTATATCTGAAATTCAGTTACTTGCTGTGAAGGACACATAAAAGGAATGTCAGTAAAAAGTATAAATTAGTTTTACAAATACTGAAGAGTTTTGAATTTCTGATTTAGTATTTCAGTGTTTGTTTGGAAAAGGAACTTTACAAATGTTTTAAAAACTTACCATTAGGTGAGGCTCTAGTAAATGTCTGTTATACTCTAGGAAACAGCTAAGTACCATGCTGGATATTTGTGATTTCAATATGATGATCTATCTGAAGGTACTTTTTCAGTACCTGCTTGTTTCATGTTTTAATAGTGTAGTTAAACCAAATAATATCTAAGATTTTATAGTTCCAAAAGGGAGAAGGAAAGGGGGAAGGAGAAAGGGAGGGAAATTGTCACCGTAGCAGTTTTCAATGATGATTTAAAAAAAACCATTTTCGAGTGTTGAAGAATAAGGAACAAATACAGCATCTCTTTGTTGTTGTTTGCAGTTAAATATTGTAGTGTTTTGTTTTGTTTTGCTTTGTTTTTTGTCTTTTTGAGACAGGGTCTCCCTGTAGTCCCAGCTGACCTGAACTCACTATGTAGACCAGGCTGGCCTTGAACTCACAGCGATCTGCCTGCCTCTGCCTCCCAAGTGCTGGGACTAAAGACATGTGCCACCACGCCTGTCATATTCTAGTGTTTTGAATGACATTAGACTGATGTTCTTAATTTCTTTTAGCTGGAAGAGTGGTGGCTCAATGTTGCCTACCTGGATGTTCGTATACCATCACAGTTGAACGTCAACTTTGTGGGTCCTTCTCCCCATTTTGAAAACTGCTGGCCTCCAAAAGAAGGCACTCAGTTAGAAAGAGGAAGTATAATTCTTTGGCATAACTTGAACTACTGGCAGCTACTAAGAAAGTAAGGATACTTATATAAATTTAGAAATTTATACTTTACTTGAAGTCTGAAATGTTGTGAATCTTAATTTACTTATTTGGGGAAGACTAATACAGTTGTGATGGTTTGATTTCTAATTTTAATACTTGCTTTTTGATCAAATACTTTTTTTATTAGAGAAAAATTGCCTGTACATAAAGTTGGAAATACTCCACTGGATATGAATCAATTCCGAATGTTGTTTTCTACCTGCAAGATTCCAGGAATTACTAGAGATTCAATTATGAATTATTTTACTACTGGTAAGTAAAATCGTGGATTTTTTTTTTTAAGTAAAGACATCAGGATTTGGGTAGTTGTACTGTGATTCCTAAGCTGCTGTGGCACACACAATTTTAAAGAACTGACCTTTGCTAAGTATCAAAGGCTTTCTGTGAACTTACCTTTCTTCCCTCACTACTAGTTCAATCATATTCATGATGACTTTAGCTTCTAGTTATAGGTGATCCATGACCACTCATTTCCTTCACCTAGTATCTTTGTTTCTATTCCTTAATATAGCCATTTTCTCCAGTAGTCATGCCCTAGACCCTGTAGCCAACACTCCATCACCTTTAATGTTGCTGCTTCCAATATCACTTTGATCTCCACTTTGCTGACATCCATCAGTACTTCACCTCAGTTATTTCTGTGACATGGTGTGCAATTCAGTGACCTTACTGGTCTGCACAACTGTGTCCTTTGCCCTCAAGTGGGTCCATAGCACTGTCTGCTTTATTTCTCAGTTTATTCTTTCACTTTACTAACAGGACAGTTTCATGCCATTCTGCCTCTTTATTCCCAGCTAATGAGTTCTTTTCTTATTAAATGCAAACAATAGTCTTATCAAATTGACCAGACTGTCTATAGTAGGGAGAATAATTGTCCTCTAAAGAAGCCTACTTCCCAGTCTCTAGCACTGTGAATATATTAGTTACATGATAAGGGGGAGTTAAGGTTGTTTATTAGTTGACCTTGAAATGAAATTAACTTGAATTAATCACATGGGTCCTAAGTAATAATGAGGGTTCTTACTGGTCAAAGGGGTAGACAAAAGAAAACCAAAGAAATGGCAGCACAAGAAAGGTATAGTTTTCCTATGATGGCTTTGATAATGTGTGGTAATAACTTTTAGAATATAGACATACTTTAAACTGTCATGACTTTTACCTAACCTTACATGCAAAAAGTTACTGTTACTGTTTGTAATATGAACAAGCTCATTGGCCCATGTGTTCCTCTTGTGACATGATCATATGGCCTTAATCCTTCAGGACCCTTCCTTGCCTTCCACCCAAGATAGTATATGAATGTGTGTATGCATGTTTCTGCATATCAAAACATCAGGGTGCTGCAAATAGTGCACTCATCTCATTGAAAACAGTGAAAAATTTATAGCACCTGTTTATGAGTGAGAGAGAGAGAGAGAGAGTGTGTGTGTGTTTGTGTGTGTGTGTGTGTGTGCTTGTGTATGTGTGTATCTCTGTGTGTGCTTGTGTGTGTGTGTAGGTCTAGGGATCAGAAAGGGATCAGAAAGGGTAAGATTCTATGATAAGAATGGGTCTGACTTTTACTTCTCCATTTCATGCTGGAGATAACTGTTTCAATAAAGAATGAACAAAGCCCTTGACTTGGGAGCATAGTTCCAAGAGAAATCTGAAGGAACAGGTTCTTAGCGGTTCTAGTCTGCTCTTGGCCTTAAAATGAATGCTAAGAGTCAGGCTGCTTCTTTAAGACATAACTATAATGTGTCTTAAAAGTATGGCAAGGATGGAAGAAGAAACCCTTGAGTTGAGGAATGTGGGCAGCCTCTAAACCAAGGAAAAAGAAGGAAATAGATTCTCTTCTAGAGCCTTCAGAAGAAACAAAGCCATGCCATACCTTCATTTTATCCCAGTAAGACTTATTTCAGATTCATCCTTCAGAGCCCTATATAATAAATTTGTATGGTTTCAAGCCCCTAAGTTAGTGGTAATTTTTTTATAGCAGCCATAAAGTACTTACCCAAATACTTATCCATTCTGTTTCCTTGTAGTACATTATTATACATCCACATACTTTATATTCCTTTTTAACAAATAGATGAACAGGGAGCTGAACTGTAGCTCAGTGGTAGAGATCTTGTCTAACATGTGTAAGGCTCTGAGTTTAATCTACATATCACAAACAAACCTTAAACAAAACAACCATTCTGGCTCCTCAGAACAACTGCTTTGTATCTGCTAGGTCCTGCTACTTTTTTATTACTTTCTCTTTCATTGCTGCATTATGTTTGCTCTTTCCATCTTTAATGTCTTTCATACTAAAAGAAAAATATTCATCTTTTTCCCTGGAAGTGTCATGTCACAGTCAAAATTATCATTCCTATTGGGGGGCTGGAGAGATGGCTCACTGGTTAAGAGCACTAGCTGGTCTTGCAGAGGACCCAGGTTTGACTCCCAGCACCCACATGGTGGTTAACAACTGTTCATAACTCCAGTTCTAGAGGATCTGAAGCCCTCCTCTGGCCCCCTCAGGCATTGCATGACACTGTTGCACTTCCACATACGTGCAAGCATAACACTCATACACATTAAATAAATAAATAGAAAGTTAAAAAAAGAAAATCTATCATTCCTGCCATGCATGGTGATGCCTGCCAGTATTAGCATGCTGAGGCTGAAACAAGTTGGGAATTAAGGCTATCCTGGGCTACATAATGGAGCCCTGTCTCAAAACAAGCTATCAAACATTCTTGCTTAGACAGTTCTCATCTTATCTGGCTATATCATCTCTTTTTTTCTGCTAACCAATTCATATTACCATGGGAGTGACCTTTTATTTTATTTATTATTATTTTTTTAGAAAGGGTTTCACTGTGTTACCCTGGCTGGCCTGGAATTTTCGATGGGGAGTGACTTTTTAAAGTACTGGTTAGATCACATGGCCACTCTTCTACATGAAACCCTCTATTGGCTTCTTTTCCATTATACTTAACATTGAAAGCTCATTTTGAGTTCCATGTGGTCTAGCCTCAACCTGACCTATCACTCTTGTGCTTTTTCTTCTGGGGAAGCTTTACTGAGCTTGTTTGCTTTAAGTAAAGCAGTTTACCTGGGTCTTCATACCTTCACAGGCGCTGTTTCCTCTTCCTGCTGAACTTGTGTGACTTGCTTTCTCATTTCAGTCAGATCTCTGTTCAGATATCCCTGAAGCTCGTTCTGAGGTTCCATACTCCTCTAATACCCCTTCCAAGTACTTATTGATTAATTTTGCATTAGGTATAGCCATAGTCTGCAATTACTATTAAAATAATCTCAAAGAGAAACTTCTTCTTTCAAATGCTTCTCTTCAGGATTCCTCTAATCCCCTTCTCCCCTTCCCATTCCTATGTCTAAGTAAAGCTTGGAAAATCCTGTAGCATTTTGGGGTTTCTTGTGGTCTACAAATATCTGAAACTTACAGAGATTTCTAGGTGTCACATTGACAAATTCCAAGAGTATGTATCAATGTCACAGTAACTGAGATTCTATTAATTTAGGAATTTTTTTCCTTGTGGTTATAGGAATCAAACTCAGCCTCACACATAATAGGCAAGCACTCTACCACTTAGTTATACATACATTTTTTATATTTAAATTGTGTGTTCTAACCAAATATAATATAAACCCCAAAATTGTATATTGTACATATCAATGGACCACCATATGATGTTTCAATATATGTGTACATGTCAAGTTAAACTACACGTCCTCAAACATCTGTCATTTCTTTCTGTCAAATTCAAAGTCCTTTTTTCTAACTTTTTGAAATATACAGTACACATTCTCTATGTATAGTTACTCTACCGTGCAGTAGCACATCAGAACTTCTTACTCTTGTCTAACCATAACTTAGTATGTATTAATTAACTTTTCCTCATCCCTTCCTCTTGCATAGTTGCTTTTGTTTGTGTGATACGTGTGATATATATGATAAGTAAAATATTGGAGGAATTGTAGTTTTATGTTAGCTTAAATTTGAGAGGTGTGAGACTTTATTTTGTGTTTCTGTTTCTTTTTTTCCAGAGAGTGAAGGGCACTGTCCAATTCACATTGCTGTGCTGTGTCAAGGCAGAGCTTTTGTCTTTGATGTGATGCATGAAGGATGCTTAATCACCCCGCCAGAGCTTCTCAGGTTTTCAAACTTCTTTATAAAAAATAAATTATATTTTTTTATTAATTTTGTTCTTTGACAATTTCATAATGTATGCAGTGTATTTTGACTATTCTCCTCAGCTCCCTTTCTCTCTACAAATTTCTTTCCCGATTCATGACTTTTTGTTTTGTTTTGTGACTCATTGCGTTTAGCCAGGACTGTATTGACCTTGGGTTTGGAACTTCCCATTGGAGCCTGGTGGGCTCAGCAGTGGGCACATAACTGAAGACCATGGCACCTCTTCTCTCAGAACCTGTCAGTAGTCAGTAGTTCAACAGTAAGAAGTAAGGTGCCAAGAGTCTTCCTACATTCATAACTGGATATTGATAAGTCCAGTGCCATGATCTTGATGGCTGTGTTGTGCTTAGAAGATGGCATTTTGCAGCCCTTCTCCCTGTCTTCCAGTTCTTACGTCCTTTCCATTCCCCCTTCCTCCATGTTCTGTATGCCTTAGAAAGGGCAATATAAATATCTTGTTTAGGCCTGAGCCCTCCATCTTGGGCAGCCATGAATCTCTGCATTCACCACCATTTACTGAAAAGAGAGGCTTTGCTGATTAAAGTCGATTGTAGTATTAGCCTATGGCATAAACATAGATAATTTAGGAATCAGTTTGACACTGTCTATATAAGAACTTTTTTTTTCCTTTTTTTTTTTTTTTTGGTCTTTTTGAGCAGGGTCTCCCTGTAGCTCCAGGTAGCCTGGAACTTGCTATGTAGACCAGGCTGGCCTCAAACACACAGAGATCCACCTGTCTCTGCCTCCTGAGTGCTAGGATTAAAGGCGTGCACTACCATACCCAGCTAAAATATAAGAACTTTTTTTTTTTTTTTTGAGACAGGGTCTCCAGCTGTCCTGGAACTCACTATGTAGACCAGGCTGGCCTTGAACTCACAAAGATCCGCCTGCCTCTGCCTCTGCCTCCCAAGTGCTGGGATTAAAGGCATGCGCCACCACACCCGGCCACATTATAAGAACTTTTTAAAAACACACATAGTATCCATTATCACACTCAGTGGCTTGTCCTTTACAAATTAACGATAGTTCTTTAGGATATTAATATATAATTAACTTCAGATTTTCTAAATGATTTTGAAAACATTGGGTTGCATATATCTATAGGTAATATAAATGATTTTGGTTTAGATTTTTGTTTTTTTTGAGACAGGATCTCCCTATAGCCCAGGCTGGCCTGGAACTTGCTATGTAGACCAGGCTAGCCTTGATCAGTCTCAGAGATCTCTCTGCCTCCTGAGTGCTTGGATTAAAGGATCTCTGTGAGTTCAAGGCCAGCCTGGTCTACATAGTGAGTTTCAGGCCAGCTGGGGCTACAAGAAGACCCTGTCTCAAAAGACAAAAAAAAGAAAATTTATTTCTTCATGTGAGAACCCTATTATTCACTCACTTTATGTTTAAAGATAGATGAAGTTCATCAAACTGGGATTGCGATAACGGAAACACTTTCCTCATCCAGTGGAGTTCTTCAGACAATTATGTTTCTTTCCTTCTCTGTTTGCTTTTTATTCCTCTTTGAAATGTGGTCTTGCTGTGTTTCCCAGGCTTTCTGTGTTGTCCTACCTTAGCCTTTGCAGTACTAGGATTACAGGCCATGTGCCGCTGTAAACAGCTAGGTCTTTAAAATGTAATAGTTATAACAAAATGACACCTGGGAAAATATTTTAAATTGACTACGTGATCCTTTTGTGTATAAAACACAAATATTAATCAGGCATATAGTTATAAGCCCTCTTGTATGTATGTGTACACAATTTTTAATTAGAGAGGTTTTATGATCTCTATAAGATTAATTATCAAAATACCTTTTTCAGGTTATCCACTAGAAAAGGTGTTTATTTAAACCCTGGAAATGCACATATATTTTCAAAGTTTAAATGATACCATTTTAAAGTCTTGTCCAATATACTTTTGGTGTTAATAGAACAAATAATTACTTTCTTTTACATTTTGTTTTTGTGTCTATGTGTGTATGGATATATGTGTGCCATGGCGAGTGTGTAGGGATCAGAAGACAACTTATGGGAGTCTGTTCTCTCTCTCTACCATGTAGGTTCTGGGGATTGAACTGAGGTCATCAGGCTTGGCAGCAAGCAACTTAACTGCTGAGCTATCTCCCTGGCCCCACATAATCACTAAAGAAAAAGATCATATGGGAAATATTGTTACTTAGGTCATAACCTGTTTCTTTAGCTGATACACCAAAACATTTAAATGCTAATCAGCATCATGACCTGTTAAAGACTTACATAGCACCCTGTGTCCATGGTGTTTTTGAATATGCTATTTTAAATTTTCCATAAGACAACTGACATATATCTACAAGAAATGCCACAGTGAACCTCGAGGACCGGGTGTGGCAGCATTAACTAGTGAGGAGCGAACTCAATGGGCAAAGGTAAGAATTTATGCTGGTCTTAATAAGCCTGCTCTCTAAGAAACTCTTCAATATTTTCTGAATATATTGTATTTAAATTTTAACATTTGATCATTATCTCTTTGACATTTAGGCACGAGAATATCTCATTGATCTTGATCCAGAGAACTCGACTTTGTTAGAAAAAATTCAGACCAGTTTATTAGTGTATTCCATAGAGGATTCTAGTCCACATGTAACACCAGAAGATTATTCTCAGGTACCTTTTAAAATATATATATTTCACTCAGGAGGCAGAGGCAGGTGGATCTCTGTGAGTTCAAGGCCAGCCTGGTCTACATAGTGAGTTCCAGGACAGCTGGGGCTACAGGGAGACCCTGTCTCAAAAAAGACCAAAAAAAATTTATATTTATATATATATGTGTGTATATATATATATTTTTTATGCTTATGAGTGTTTTGCCTGCATGTGTATATGCTTACCATGTGGGTGTCTGGTGCTCATGGAGCCAGAAGAGGGTGTTGGAGCCCCTGCAACTTGAGTTACAAAAGGTTATGAGCTGACATGTGGGTGCTGGGAACTGAACCCAGTTCATCTACAATCTTAACCACTCAGACATTTCTCCAGCCCCCCTTTAGATGACATTTTTTTATGTGTATGAGTTTATTGCATGCATGCAAGTTCACCTGTGTCATGCAGTGCCCACGGAGGTAGAAGATCTCCTGGAACTGAAGTTTCAGATGATTGTTAGCCACCATGTGGGTGCTGGGACCCAAACCCAGGTCATCTGCAAGAGCAGCTATTGTTCTTAACTGCTGGCCATCTCTCCAGCCCTCAACTGAAATTTATTATATACCAAATTGAAACTTATGCATGAGTAAGTAGTGCTTTGTAAATACATGCCATATTAAGTTTGTTTAGATATGTTTTGAATCATGTTTGAAGAAGTATGACTATTATTTGCATGTCAGTGCTTTCTCAGTCCTTTTTGATACTTCTTTTTTAAGTTTTCTTGAATAATAATTTTATTGATTCTTTGAGAATTTTATACAGTGTACTTTGGTCATATTCAAACACCCCTCCCATCTTCTCTCAGACGTACCCCCACTTTCCTACCCCCCTCCCACACACACACACTTCATGTCTTCTAATTTTTTTATTGCCCATGGAGTCAAATTAGTGTCTCCAAATACTCTTGGGAGTGTATTCATCTCTTGTAGCGTGGTCAGCCTACTGGCGTTCACACTTAAGAAAACTGATTCTCCCTCCCCTAGCAGTTATCAGTTGTCTCTATTATTCCTCAGCTAGGGGTGGCACTTCATGCCTACCTCACCCCTCCATGCTGGGATCTTGTCTATCTTGGGCTTTCTCACGCCTTTGCATGCTATCACAATGGCTATAGGTTCATATGTATAACTGCCCTTTATGTCTAGAAAATACTTTTGTTGTAGTCATCCACCACCTCTGGCTCTTAAAATCTTTCCATATGATACTTTCTGAGCCTTTGCGGGAGGGGCACACATAGAATATTTGCATGGAACATGGAAGCAAATTAATTTCTCTTTCCAAAGAATCTATCTATAACCCACACCAGTAACCTTGACTTGTTGGGGTGGGGGTTCTATCCTAAGAATTATATCTCCCTTGTAAGTAATTGATTATATCATTTGGTTTTCTTGAACATACTGACTTCAGTGAGTTTAAGGGTGAATGTGGCTTCTTTTTGTTTTTATCTTTTTTTTATTTCCCAACCCCGAGTAATATTTATTTCCTAGGAATTGAAATGTAGTCATCATATTCGTAGAAGTCTTGTCTTTTGAAAGAAATTATTTCATAGTGTTTTTATCAGTATTAAATGATAGGAAAATATAATCTGGGATTAAAAATCTTGACACTAGAAACCAATGTTTTTTAACTTTCAGAGAGGAGGAAAATTGCTAATGTACTTCTTCAGGAATACTGCAGCGTTGTTCACACTACAGTCTGTACTTAGAAACACAATTAGATTATAGCCCACCATATATAAAGATGTGTATATATGCATGCACATATAATTGAGAGTCCATAAAACAATAATTACGGGGCTGGAGAGATGGCTCAGCTGTTAAGAGCACTGACTGCTCTTGCAGAGGACCCATGTTCGAGTCCCAGCACCCACATGGCAGCTAACAACTGTCTTGTAACTCCAATTCCAGAGGATCTGACACCCTTTTCTGACTTTCGTGGGCATTGTATAACATGGGTGCACTTACATGCATGCAGGCCATACACTCATACACATAAAATAAAAATAGTAAAAAATAAAATATTAGGGCCGGGGTGGTAGCATACGCCTTTAATCCCAGCACTCGGGAGGCAGAGGCAGGCAGATCTCTGTGAGTTCAAGGCCAGCCTGGTCTACGTAGTGAGTTCCAGGCCAGCTGGGGCTATAGGGAGACCCTGTCTCAAAAAAAGAAATACTTTTACTGTCTGTCATGCCCTATGCTATTTCTATTCTGTTTTCTTGTTTGTAAAGAATGTTATGATACTTTAAATTGTTTAGTGACTAATTAATGGGCCAGAATCTACAGTTTGAAAAAACTTGACTTAGTGGTATAGGAATTCTTTTTTTTTCTTTTTTTTTCTTTTATCTTTTTGAGACAGGGTCTCCCCGTAGCTCCAGCTGTCCTGGAACTCACTTTGTAGACCAGGCTGGCCTTGAACTCACAGAGATCTGCCTGCCTCTGCCTCCCAAGTGCTGGGACTAAAGTACCACCATGCCGGGCAGGAATTCTTAAGACATTTTATTTGTAACTCATTAGGCTTATACTATGCAAGTTACGAAAGACTTGTTTTCAGTTGTATGTTCTGAAAGCATCAATGAATAATGTATTAGCATTCTGTTTTCTGGTTGGATTTTCATAACCTGAGATTTGGAAATAGCTGAAGTAAGGCCCAAAATTATTATCTCTAGAGGGTAACTATACTAACATTTTATTAAGTTTGATTGACTTGAAAACGAAAAGTGGAATGGTACATATGTTTAAGTGTACTTGCTAACCAATGTCAAAACCCTTTTAATTTGGAAAAATAAAATGTATTTTAGGTTTTGGAAATGCTCCTCACTGGAGATCCAGCAGTACGCTGGGGTGACAAATCCTATAACTTGGTTTCCTTTGCTAATGGAGTATTTGGCTGTTGTTGTGATGTAAGTATATTACAAAAGTGTAAGTTAAACAACAAATACACATGTGTGAGTAAACACGTTTTTTAGTTTTATATCACAATAAAATCTGTTGCCGGGCATGATGGCACATGCCTTTAGTCCCAGCACTCAGAAGGCAGAGGCATGTGGATCCCTGTGAGATTGAGGCCATCCTGGTCTACACAGCAAATGCCAGGCCAGCTGGGGCTACAGAAAAGCCCTGTCTCAAAAAGACCGAAAAAAACCCAAAACTGTTGTTATGAAGTTGCAGTGAAAGTAGAGTATAGATCAAGTTACTCCCTTCTGTTGGAAGACCAACAGTTTGGTGCATATCTGCAAAAAGGATTATGAACTGTAATTTTTGTATAGTATAATTTCTTAAAGCTATTGTTGTCATTTGCTAAAAGTCACAGCCTAATTTGAAAGATATTACCTTGCTTATGTATATGTTCTGTACTTAGGGAAATCTTACGGATATATTTCTAGATTTCAAGATTTGCTTAGTGATTAGGCAACTATTTTCCTAAAACACGACTAGGATATTTGGGACACTAGACTATGAGCATTAAAATGTCTGGTACTTGCTACCATTTTTATTATCCTAAAAAAAAATTGTTTTTCTTATTTCTCTCCTCTTTTCCCATTATCTTTACTAGCACTCTTTTCTGTTCAGGAAATTAAGGTTTCAGTTTTTGATACTGGAGATTGTTAGGAGGTACTGTGTGCATATTGGACAAGTATTCTACTACTGAGCTACAGCCCTAGCCCTGTATGTGATTTATTAATCGGTATTTATTCAATTAGGCATTAGCCTAAGAAGCTATTTGCTGTATACATATATACCTAAATATGGGTAAAGCAGACTTGGAGTGTCCAAATACTTTCATTAGAAATCAGTTTCCCCTGCCTGGTGTGGTGGCGCATACCTCTAATCCCAGTACTCAGAAAGCAGAGACAGGTGGGTTTCTGTGAGATTGAGACCAACTTGGTCTACATAGCAAGTTCCAGGTCAGCTGGGGCTACAGGGAGACCCTGTTTTTTAAAAAAAGAAGAAAAGTTCATTTCCCCATTTTTACAGTATGAACTTCTTTTTAGGCAGACTGTCCAGTGTGATTGTTGTGCCTACAATTTCAAGGGTCATTATAGCTCTCTTGGCTGAGTGACCCCAATGGAAATAGCCAACTTGTATTTTTTGGGTGACTCCAGGAAAGGTCCTGAAATACTTTGGTTGTAATTGGCGTGTGTGAATCACTCGTCTGGTTTTGGGAATCAGAAGTTCTCATCAGCCTAGCCCAGGCCACTTACCAACCTTGGAACTAGTAGGTAGAATCAATCTCTGTCAACTCAATATAGACAGTGTCGTGGTTGGTGCTAAAAGTAGTTGCCTATTATAGTAACTCACGGGAGTGATTGGTGAAAGATTGCCCTGAGTCATTTTGAATATTTGGTTTCTGTCTGTCTTTCTTTTTTTTTTTTTTTTTTTTTTATCTTTTTGAGACAGGGTCTCCCTATAGCCCCAGCCTGGCGCTCACTATGTAGACCAGGCTGGCCTCAATCTCACAGGGATCCGCCTGCCTCTCCCTCCCAAGTGCTGGGACTAAAGGCATGCGTCACCAGTCCCGGTTTATTTGGTTTCTTTGCTGTTACTTTGTATCCACAGTTGGCAAATATTTCTTATTGATTACCTCAGTTTTCTTCTTTTCTGAGTCTACCTGATACTCCTTGACCTTCCTCTGTTTTATATTCCAATTTATTCTCTGCCAAGTGTCCTTTATCAGATAATTAACTGTCTTCTGGCTTTTTTCTTAATTTCTCTTGGGCTTGCCTACTACAAAAAGATTAATAATACCTTTCTTGCTCATTCTGATTGGTTCCAGTAAATTAGGTAGATGTTGATCTATTCTGTTAAATGAAACAAGTATATGATAATATCTGAAAATTCTAAAACTATAAAGCACTGTACAGTTGTGAGATACGGTTCAAATATTGGTTTGTCAGTGACCTGCCACTCTTGTTATGTACCTTATTGCTAACAGATGAATTCCTTATGCATCTTGTCCTAACCTCTCTTAATAGCCTAGTTGAGGCTGGTAACAGTCAACCAGATTTACAAGTTCCAACAATTCACGATACTGGGCTGCAGAACCATAGTGTTAGGGTAACATTTAAGCACCTAATTACTGCCTCTGAAACTGGGTCCATATCTTAAGCCTTCCCTCCTTTTCTTTCAAAGCCAGTTCTGTATCAAGTCAGTTCATGAAGATAACAGTTTAATGTAACGTGGAAGCAGTAACATAGAAGGAGCCATCTGATACAGTTGTCACCAAGGGGACGTGGAGATAATAAGGGCAAGGAAGTCTGTCCTCCAAAATTAGAGATGGGAAAATTCTAGCTGGAATTCTTTCCCTAAATATAGCCATCAAACTTATAACACCGACTGCTACAACCCATCTTTCCCACATTTCTTAACATCAAGAATTATTTCTGCCATATCTAGGCATTCCTGTAAATATGTCTACAAAATAATTCTGTTTTCTAATACTCATTTGGTGGTCCTCTGTGGGGTCTCTCCCTCTCCTCGCGGGTCGTTGGCCCCCGGTCCACGAGGACAAGGAGAGCAGAAGCGACGAGCGGGGTCAGGACGGCCAGTGAGCACTGACGGAAGAAAGCCCTTCCGGGGAGGCAGGTTCAACGATGCAAACAGCTCCAGACTCAGTGAAACAGCTCTAGATTCAGTGAAACAGCTCCGTTTATTCAGTGGGAGAACTTTGGCAATAGCCAAAGCCTCAGCTGATAGGTGCTCATAGTATGCTTTATTTACATGTGGCAGTGGGCTCCTATTTACATGTGGCAGTGGGCTCCTTTTACATGTGGGCTCCTATTTACATGTGGCAGTGGGCTCCTTTCAGTGGACTACCAGGCAATGCCTGATTATCATATGGAAAAAACCTGGGGGTAGTTTTTACTCCAGGTAACTATGCCAAAGGTCATGTTCCAAATAAGGTCAGGCATCCGTGCTTGGTGGCACTTTCCAGGTAAGTCAGGAAAAGAGCAGGAGGCCCCCTGCTGAAAAGGGGAGTCCTTCCATATAGCGCTGAGCCCCTTAAAGCTATCCAGACATGGAGGACTACAACCCTAACAGCAGGGTTTCCCAACAGTCCTCTTTAGCTGGAAATGTTCATACTCATCCTAAATGCCCTCAGATAGTCAGCCATCCCCACCCAATTACCACACTATAATTCCAGAATATTTCCTCGTTGCACAGGGTATGCCTGCTTTGACTTCCAGTAAAAATAGCAGTTAAGTTCTCTGAACTTTTCAATTTACTATTACACACATAGACAAGACCCCAGCAGCCCTAACTGTGTTTCCAGCTTTGAATGTTTGCTCACTCTTTTATCTCTCAGAAAATAAGCAGTTCTTATTCTGTAGGCTAGCTAAGTGTTTATCATTAGGGTAAGGCGTTTGAAGATGCGTATACCTTGTCTGTTAAAAGTGGAGGAAAGTGAAAAATGCTGTCTCAAGTTTTAATTTGACACAAACTACTCCAAATCTTGTTTCCATTTTAGCATGCTCCTTATGATGCAATGGTTATGGTAAACATTGCTCACTATGTTGATGAGAGAATCTTAGAGACTGAAGGAAGATGGAAGGTATGTCAGAACAAATAAATACTTCATCCCTTTTCCACTAACCATGTACATAGATACATTTTAAGTCCTCTATTTTCAGGGTTCAGAAAAAGTACGAGATATACCACTTCCAGAGGAGCTTGTTTTCACCGTGGATGAGAAAATACTAAATGACATCTACCAAGCTAAAGCCCAGCATCTCAAAGGGGTAGAGCTTTAATTTCTCTTTATTTGTTTGTTTATTTATTTATTTATTTATTGTCTTTTTGAAACAGGGTCACCCTGTAGCCCAGCTGTCCTGGAACTCACTATGTAGACCAGGCTGGCCTCGAACTCACAAAGATCCGCCTGCCTCTACCTCCCAAGTGCTGAGATTAAAGGCGTGCGCCACCATGCCCAGCTTCGTTTCTCTTTTAAATAATAATGCTTTAGCTGCCATATTTGAAAATGTGACTATTACCCAAGTACGGCTTCATAAAACCTTTAAAAATTATAGGTTTGACACCTTTAGTTCTTTATGTCTGATTAGTTTAATACAAATAATGATTGATTCTCTTTGGTGCATTCCTGTTTGCTTCTTTTAGGCATCTGATCTACAGGTTGCAGCATATACCTTCACATCTTTTGGCAAAAACCTCACCAAGAAGGAGGCGCTTCATCCTGATACCTTTATTCAGCTGGCACTTCAGCTCGCCTATTACAGACTTCATGGACGGTAAGGACCATTTGCTCTCCACTTTCAGCATCTTGCAGTTGAAGGTTATGTATTTTACATAGCCAATACATCCTAACTCCCCTGTGGTTTTTCTCACCCTTTTCACTGTTGGAACAGTTTCTTACTCTGTGCTCCCACCAGTTTGTTAGAGTTCCAATCTGTGACAGTTTTGTATGTTTTCCTCTTCGTCCTTTTCCAGTGTATTCATTTGCTGCTTTTGAAGGCTCTGCTCTCCTCTAAGAGAGGCTTTAGCTCTGTAAAACTATTGTGCATATTAATGACTTGCAAAAATTATCTCCCTTTTTGTGCGGTGTCATTTGCTCTTGCTCTTTTTTCTAAGTTTTTATATTCTGTCTGTATGTGTGTATTGCCTGTATGTATGTAAGTGCACCTGTGTCATACTGTGCCCTCAGAGGTCAGAAGAGGACACTGAATTCCCTGGAACTGGAGTTTGGGACAGTTATTAGCAACCATGTGAGTGCTGGGAATTGAACCCAAGTCTTCTACAAGAGCAGCCAGTGCTCTTAACTGCTGATCCGTCTCTCCAACCCTTTTTTAAAGTTGGTTTTTTTTTTTTCAAATTGCTCTTTTAATAGTATCCATTGACCTATGCAGTTACATTTTGATGAGATCCAATGTATTTTTCTTTTGTTGCTTGTTTAAAAAATCATTACCAAATCCAATGCAATGAAGATTTTTCCCTGCCTTCTGATATTTAAAAGTTTTAGCTCTTACTGTAGATCTGTGATCCATTTGAGTTAATTTTTTAAAATTATTTTTATTCTTATGTGTATGAGTGTATTATCTGCATGTATGTAAGTGCACCATGTGGTACAATGCCCGATGAGGTCAGAAGAGAGCATCGAATCCCCTGGAACTGGAATTACGGGGTCATGGGCAGTTTTAACTGCAATGTAGGTGCTGGGAATTGAACCTGGGTCCTTTGCAAGAGCAGCCAGTGCTCTTAACTGCTGATCTATTTCTCCAGCTCCAAGTTAAGTTTTTTTTATATGGTATAAACTGTAAGGTTAAGAATCTATGTTAGGGGGCTGGAGAGATGGCTCAGTGGTTAAGAGCTCTGGATGCTCTTGCAGAGGATCCGGGTTTGGTTCCCAGTACACATATGGTGGCTAACAACCATCTGTTTCTCCAATTCCAGAGGATCCAATAACTTCTGACTTCCTCCAGCATTGTATCACATGGATGCACCTACACACATGCAGGCAATATTCTCATGCACATAAAATAAAAATAAATAAAATATTTCTTAAAAGATTGTATGTTAGGATTCTCCAGAGAAACAACTTGGGGGTAGGTGGGAGTGGGTAGGGGTGTGTTTCGGGGGACTTAGGGGATTGAGATTTGTTATGGTGATTGGCTTACATGATTACAGAGAAAGACAAGTCCTGTGCAAGGTAGAGAAGCAGCAAGTTGGTAGTGTGAGTCAATGTGAGTGCAGATTCCTGAGAAGTGAGTCAAATTGCATAATAGTCCTACCTAAGTCTCAGTCCAATTCTGAAGGCCCAGGGGCCAGAATCACCAGTGTCTAAGGGCAGGAAAAGATGGATACTCCAGCTCTTATGGTGACTTTGCTATTCCTCTGCCTCATTTTTCTGTTTAGGCTCCCAACAGATTAGATAATGCCCACCCACATGATGAGGGCAAACCTTTTTTCACATAGCCCAGCGGTTCAAATGCTACTGTCTGGAAACAGCCTCACAAACACACTTAGAAATAATGTTTTACTTCTTCTCTGGGCATTTGTTCTCCCAGGAAAGTTAATACATGAAATTAACTATCCCTGGGTCCAGTTTGATGCTTTTCCAGGCAGATACTCAATTTACACAGACTTGACGATACTGTGCTTCCTCCAATTGTATCACTGTTGATTCGTTCTCTTCAGTTGACCCTTATGCCTTGACTTTTCTCCACTGGCAGGTTTCTGATTATTGATTCATTCTCCTTGAGTTGTTATAGGTCCACTCAAATTTTTATTTTTGTTGAGTCTTATTTGGTAGTTTGTTTTTGAAATATGTCCATTTTACGTAGGTTATCCAAGTTACTAGTATGCAAATGTTAATAGTGGGGGTTTTTTTGGTCTTTTTGAGACAGGGTCTCCCTGTAGCCCTAGCTGTCCTAAAACTCACTGTGTAGACCAGGCTGTGCCAGGCTGGCACAGAGATCCACCTGCCTCTGCCTCCCGAATGCTGGGATTAAAGGCGTGTCCCACCATACCTGGCAATAGTGTTTTTTTAAAAAATAATCCTTTTATTTCTATAAAGTCAGGAGTAATGTCTCTTCATTGCTGATTTTTGTAATTGAAGTCTTATTTTTTCTTAGTTGATCTCTTCAATGAACCAACTTTTTGTTTCATTGATTTCTTCCTCCTTTGTAGTCTCATTTTATCTCCATTCTAATATTTCATCTTTTTTCTTTTTGCTAACTCTCTTTTTTACAGTTTTGTAAGATACAGTTTACTTTACTGATCTGAGATCTTACGTTTTTTTTTTTTTTTTTTTTTTTTTTTTTTTTTTTAAAAAAAAAAAAAAAAAAAAAAAGAGGACGATAAATCTTTCACTGTGATATATCAAAATAA